AAACGTTAGGGTAGCGGCTGGTTTCTTCTAAAAAGCTCCACGAAGTCAAACGAGTACAGCCAGTGCTAGTGCCGTAAGGCAGCAATGAAAACAATGGTTTTATTTGTGTTGTGACACTGAACGCTGCTTTCAAACATAATAGTGACATTTGCGAGGTGGTATCATCATAAACACCACAAAAAGCGTGTTACAGAAACACGGAGTTCTGATAAGGTACACAAGTTTAACGCAAGAGAGCCAGCTGTTTTGTAAAAATACTTGCAGTTCCCATAAACTGCGTACAGCTCTGTGGAAGAAACTTTCAAGGACAGAAAAAAAAAAACCTTTAATGACAGAGTTAAGGCTCTTATTTGCAAGTGATCTTCCTATTGGAAGCATATGGAAAATATTTTCTCCAAACAGGATGCAGCTTGAGGACTTCAACCCATGCAAGAAGCTTCACAGGTACGACACTGGAGCTCAATGTCCGCATCAGTAAGGGCTGCGTGTCTTTTGTTGCCTCTTCACACCACTCTTAACTGTACAAATGAGCCTCTACCATGGGCACCCCGAGATTAATACCTGCACGCAAGCGGAGTCCCCATCAAATGTAAAAAGAGAAAAGGCCTTTCTTCTCTTGTCCCCATTCTACAGGGAACTGTAATTGCTATTTCTAGAATAGAAGGAAATCGGACATCCCTTTCTGTAGCTACTGCAAAGTAAATCTGCCTATTTTAGCTTCTAAAATGCATGAAGGTGTAAGCCTGGATAAACCCACGTAACCAGCCTCTCGGTTCAAGGCAGCGTCAGGTACGTCGGGCTGCACTCCAAGTGAGCGAGATGAAGAAGCACAAACAGAATTTTTGCTAGTGTTGAAAAGAATGAAGAGGAGAACAAGGCCTTTAATAAAACCATAACTAAAACCAGTACGAGTTCCAAAATGGCATCTAGTGAAAACCTGGGGGCTTGGTGGTTCAGAAAAAGGGAGATCACCCAGACAGCTCAAAACCATGTGACTGAAGGGACCTCCTGTCCACTCTGAGGTTTATTTAAAGCCAGCTTCACGCATTCACATATACTGTACCTCTCCCAAAGCTACATACCCATTTCATCCAGGATTCTGGAAGCCATTACAGGAAAGGTCTTTAATGGAAGTTAGCAAAGTGGGGGTTTTTGTTTATTA